CTGTGCGTATACTGTGCAGATGCTAGTTAGAGAATATTAATGCTATTTATGTCCATGTGTATGTGTGTATTGTCAGTACTTTTATAGTTGTCGGTAGTGGTAGTGGCCTTACAGATTATACAACTTGCGAGACATGTAATTTATTATGATATATATATATATATATATATATATATATATATATATATATATATATATATATATATATATATATATATTGAAAAAAACAGACCACTTTTAAGGTTCCATGTAATAAGTTATTTCACCACAACTCTTTTTAAAGGGCTCTAGATCATCAGACATTACTTCCAAAAGTTGAAATGAAAATGAAAAGAAACTTACACATTTTTGACGGACTGCACCAAGCGTATGTAAAATTAGCGAAGTGAGGAAGTGAGGTGGGAGAGAAGATATGAGGGAGTTAGATGTACCATTTTCAATTCCTTATCCTTAACCCCACTCTGTGTAGGCTAGACGCCGCTTAACTTAACGTATGTTATCCCTTGGTAAGGATAATTCCAAGGAGGACATTACTCCAAAGAGAGCTCAATGTAAGTAACAGAGCAATAAAATAATAAGAAGAAAGAAAAACATAAAAAGATTATAATAAAAAAGGAAGAAAGAAAATTAAAATATATATTTTTTTTTAATTTTGGGAAGAAAAAATGAGAGAGAAAGGAGGGGAAAGAAAAGAAAGGAAAGGAGGAAGAATTAAATGATGACCAAAAAAAAAAATTAAATAAAAAAATTTTAAAAATAAATAAATAAGTAAATAAAAAATAAATAAATAAATAAGTAAAGACATAAAAATAAAGAACAAATTTAACAATTTGAATAAGGATAAAAATAATAAAAATAACAAAGATAAGACTAACCATAATAGCAATATAAAACAAAATCAATTAACAATTTAAAATTATAAATGGTGCTGGCAAGTCAATCACACAAATAACGATATATAAAAATGTGAATACACATACGCATATATGTTAGTACCCATATATATTAGTACCCATTTATTTATTTATTTTTAAACTTATTATTTATTTAATTTACTTTACTTTATTGATGTCGGATATTATTATTTTATATTTATTATTATTATTTTATATTTATTATTATTATTATTATTATTGTTGTTGTTGTTGTTGTTGTTGTTATTGAAATTGTGATGATAATGCGATATGAAATTTTCTGTCTAGAATGACATGACTATCAGACATATTATTGTAACTTTTAATTTTGATCCCTCTCCCTTTAAAGAAAAATTTGTTTCTAGATCAACTTATTGGTTCATCTTTTCTTTTCTTACCCACCCCCGCCCCTCTCCATCCCTCAAGGATTAACAGTGGTCATTTTTTAAGGGAAACAGGTAAAAGTTGAGAGATAATCTGTGAGTCCAGAGTATCAAATCAAAAGTCATATTCGATATCAGGAGAAACTCACCAAAACGTTTCACAGACATTCTTTGTCCGTTATATATATATATATATATATATATATATATATATATATATATATATATATATATATATATATTTTTTTTAATTTAAAAAATAATTATAATTTAAGCTCTACTTCTGTATGGAACACTGCTTTTGTAAAAATAAAAACAAAAATACTAAAGAACTCCGGATTATTTACCTAACGTGTTCTTTCCTATTTTTCTATATATCTACATACACACACACACACACACACATATAAAAACAAGAATCGTGTCGTTCATCAAGTGGTCAGTAAGTTAATGCCTTATTAATCTGTTAACAAAGTGAATTAGCCATTAATTACATTAACTTTATTGATTTATTCTTTGAATGACTGTTTTACGACATTAATTAAGCCACGTTATTTCTTATGTGTGTGTGTAGTGCGTGTGGTTAGTATATATTTAAATTCTATTTATGTGCGTATGTGTATGCGTGTATATAAATCTTATACACTTTGTACAAATAAGAAATCTCAATTACTGAATTATTGCTACCTAAATATATCTTTATATGTCTACATATATGCATGGATTGTAAATAAATCTATACACTTCGTATATATAAGAAATCTCCACGAGCTACATTATTTCATTCTATTCTCTGTCTTGCTACAAATCCTTATCCAGATATTCCAACTTCTGGAAGAAAATGTTTTTTTATTATTTTATACCCGCTCTAGATTTTCTTTTTAGCTTCCATCTTCATTTATTTTGAGATAACAAAAAGAAAGAAGATAAAAAGAAAGAAGAAAAAAATGAACCATACCTAGAGACAGGTGTGTGTGTGTGTGTTTGTTGTGTGTGTGTGTGTGTGTGTGTGTGTGTGTGTGTGTGTGTGTGTGTGTGTGTGTGTGCGTGCGCAAGTGTATGTATGTGTGAGAGAGAGAAAGAGGGAGAGAGAACGTGAAACGAGGGATGGGGTCACTGCCGAAACAAAATTGTCATGTTCACATCTCTTGTGTTTCAGGAAGCCAGTCTCCCGGGTCAAGTAGCGACAGAAGCAGCAGCAGCAGTTACAACGTTAAGGAGCACCGTAGGTGGTGACGGAGGCGGTGATACTGCGACGGTGGTCCCCATGGGTAATGAAGAAGCCGTCACTCGCAAACGCTTCTTACATGAGGACATTGTACGCATGTACAAGCACATTGGTAGGTATGTGTACGTACACATACCTACAGCAGGAAAACAGCGGCACATATAAATATGTACTGATAAAATACCCCCCAAAAATGATTATATCCACCGTGATCACCCGCACGTGAGAATATCACAGGCAACATTGCACGCACATTAACACTAAGTGCATTTATAAGTAAAATATTTTAGCACACGCCGAAAGCCCACACATTAATGTTAACGCAGAAACAGACATTATCATAAAAAATGCACTCCCTCAGACACGCCGGCATGCCAACAGATAAAACTAAGTCTGGCACAAGGCTACATTCATTGAGTACTAATTAAGGAACGAGCGGCAATGGATAACATTAACCACCGTACATATATGGTTATAAAATTTAAATTCTTCCTGCATAATAAAAATAATTTTTCTTAACTTTATTTATAACAAAACTAAACTAATATAAAACCACAAAAAGTACATGTTGGTTAATAGAAAGTTTCGCCTATCGCCCGGTTCACACTCCTCCCCGGTCTTTTGAACAGAAGTAGAGGTTTATCCCTTGTTTTTTGTTTAAAATTGGCTTTCCGGATCCTTCTAAAATCTCCTCATTCTCTTTCACTCCCAGTAGCCCCTTGCGTTTTAGTGACATTATCGCCTTGCTTCGGATAGATTGATTAAAAAAAATTACGTTTGATTATGTCCTTGATATTTGAATATGCAAATTTACATTTAAATATACATAAGTGTATATATATAAAAAATGAAATTCTTCTAGAACAATCAGCATAGACAAAAACGCATATGTATATGTAGGCATAAAAAATTATATTAAAAATAATTTTAGGTTGAAAGGATTCATATGTGTTAATTATTCTAATGTGTTTCTGTTAAAAAATATCTTCCTAAGTATTTGTCGGATTACTTTCCAACCAAAAATGTGTGCAAGGTTAATAATAAACTAGGGTCTCTTTCATTTCTTTTCATATATATATATATATATATATATATATTTCTTCATATTCATTTATATATTATTGTATTACTGGATTCACTATCTCAGTAAATATCTATGCACATGCGTTCACTTCTGTTTTCTTATTTGTTTATCCACTAAAAAAAAAAAACAAAAAAAACGCACGGGCCTCATCGGAACGACATTGTCCTTCTTAAACACATTCTAAGCGATACTTGTTGTTCCCCCTCCTATTAATGGCTAAGAGAAGGAGGAGCCTAGCGAGTAGGCGGTCACTATGAGTTAGCCATACACATACTCGTCGACATTGACCTCTTCGTGTCTGACACAACAGAAGCTTTTTGCGGATAGCGGAAGAAGGATTTACAAGCAATACCGGAATGAACGGCGCCAAACAGCGTATATACAATGATAATAATGAAAAATGATTGATATTTTATGTATTGTATAGCGAAAAAGACTGACAGGATTCCCAGACGGGGGAAAAAAGAGAGTGAAGGAAAACAAAGAAATAAACTAAAAAAAATCGACGAATTATGTTAAACAAATCGACATCTAAAATACGAATGTTGGAAACGAAAGGAAAAAAGAAAGGGAAAAAATACACAAAAGAAGTTAAAACGATGAAATCCCCAAAACCCTAAGACGTTATATTAAAAATTAATCTTTTCATTTAAAAAGAAAATTTTCCTCCAACTGTTAACCCAATCACATTAACAACCAAAGTCAAACGAGAGCCGAATATTATCACATCCTGATTAAAATCTACTCAAGTAAATACATCGTTACTGTTGATAACAACAGCCACAACATAAACAACAGCAACCCATAAGTAACGCACAAGATTCAACAAATGTCACCATTATTATGTAGATATTCAAATTACAGTAGTACAAAGAATTTCGTTATATGAAAAAGAAATATCACAATAAATGTCTTCACAAAATATTTTTAAAATACCAACAAGCAATAACAAATCAACTGACTGGTAAGTACTTTCATTTGTTGAATCTGAAACGTTACTAAATTTTTTAAAACAAAAAACAAAAAAAATTTTAACTCCAAAATTTTATTTTGCATCGAGTTCTATTCTGGGTTATTACGTTTTGTTATTTTTTATTTTTTTTCACTTCTTCGTTGTCTTGGTTACCGTGCGTAAACGAATTCAATCCAGACTTAGCAGAAATAAATTCATATTAATAACTATAAGAAACACTCGAAACTCCTGACTTTATATAAATTCGATTTAAAGGAAAACAAATCCATCGCAAGAAAGATATTTTTATTTTCAAAAACGGAACAACTTTAGCCGCCTATTTGAAAGACTTGTCTACTGAAGACGCAACATCGTTTTTCTCGTGCGATTTGTGTAAACTGCTTTTAATGACTGTACACAAGTGAAAAAGAAAGGAAAACTTGACATTTTTACGAGATCATTCAAAATTACACGAAATAGGAATTTTAAATGTACTCAAAAATTTTAGCCAATTTACATCTCTGAAAAGTTTAGTTTTTAAAACATCTACATGATACCTATGTAGATACATAATAAATCGGGTATTTTAAATGCACTTAAGGACCACAAACTTTTTAAAAAATACTGACTACTCATGTGCGTGCATATAATTGTACTATACGTACTAATCGTATACACCATCACAAAGTAATGAAAAAAAGAAGGTAAAAAAAATCAGAAAAAAAATAGTCAAAGAAATATATACATTTAATTTATAGACTAATATTGCGAACAGGCACAATTGATCGCAGACGATTTTAAATCATCGTTCATCCCAAATATCAACCATCTTTCTTTTGTCAACAAGCGACATGGCGTCCATGGTCCTGTCTCCGTACGGTCCCGTGAAGACAGAGCCGGACGTTGCTGCGGCAGCGGCGGCAGCAGCAGCCACCAGTGGCTACTTCAGTCGGGGCTGGGCCGATTGCTCAGCCAAGTTGCACCTGTCCCAGACTAGTAGCAGTAACGGAACGGGACATCTCCATCTTAATACCAAAAAGAACGGTGCACACAACGGAGGAAATGGAGGGCTCGGCCATAGTGCGGGCGGTGGAGGAGGAGGCGGGACAAACACAAGCTCTAGTGTTTCAATGGATACAAAATCAGCTTTTAATCTATCAACAAATTCCAGTAAACTGTTCAGCAACGGAGGAGGTGGCGGCGGAGGCGGTGGAGGCAATGGTAGTAACACCGGCGGTGGTGGTGGTGGAACAAGTGGGAGCGATGCCAGCGCCGATGCTCTTGACGCAGGTTATACCACTGGCCTTCAACAGCAGCAAGATGCCCGGGGTGTTCGAATCCACCCATCTATGACTAATGGCAACAGTGGAGGTAGTGGAGGAGGAGGAGGGGGAGGCGGTGGAGGAGGCGGAAATGGTGGTAGTGGCAACGGAGCCCTCTCAGATGAGACAGGCACCGTTACGGGTGCATCTCTTTACAACATCCCTCCCACTTCGCCCCATTCCCACCACCACAACCACGGCCATCACCACCACCATCACCATCCACACAGCAACAGTCACCACCAACAACAGCAACAACAACAACAACCACAGCCGCACCACCCACACCACCATGCCGGGCTTAACAGCACCTCAGCCTCCAACACTACTAATTCGGACAATCACAACAACAGTAACAGTCATCACCACCACCACCATCACCACCACCATCATTCTTCATCTTCCTCTTCATCTTCGTCCACTTCTCCTGCATCTTCGTCCGCCTCCATCGCTGCCACCCAAGGAAAGGCTTCCTCTCGCCTTTCTTGTACACTCGCTGCTGCGTCCCGGCCTCTTGGCTCCACCACCCTGACATCAACTAGGAAAGTCTTTCTCCCAGCAGGTAAGTAAAACAAAACTCTACCTGAAGATATTTTTCATTTCTTCTGCACAATGTTCTGTATTGTTGCTTTTGGAACATTTTTCCTTCAACGCAAATGATAAAATGGAACCGTCTTCTAACATGTAAATGTTTCATCTTTCGCGATCTGTCCTCGGCTATTAGCTGGATAACATTCTTGTGAAACCTTAAATCCTTAAAAATCCTTTACTCTCACTGTTGGGCTGAGAATCAATCAATGTAGAATATCATGTAAAAATATAGTTCTTTAATTTTTACGCATATAAATGACATTTCAGGAAATTTAAAACTTCTGCAAGCGGACCATTTATTCTAACAAAGCATTATATTACGCAGAAAGAACAACATATTACATTTGCTATAGAAAGGTAGAAAAATGTGGAATTTCCTTGAACGGTGCCAAGTCTGGTTGAAGGCCATGTACTTAGAACAGCCAGAAAGAAACAAAATTTGATGCATAAGAATATGTGGCGTTTATATTGACGATTTGTGATCGTGATTAAGAAGAACTTATCAATGATTATTGTTGCAGAAGTAGTTGTTTAAATTGCAGTTTATAGTGATAAATATATAGGTAATTAAGTGGTACGTAAACTCACGCCTCAACAGCAAGAATCAAGTTCAGTGGATAATATAAAACGATCCAATATATATTGTTTCATCAAGCGCACGTGTAATCTTATTCTATCGTGTAATCAAATGAATGAAAGCCAACGAAGAATATGGCAAATGTCCATCCTGCAACCCTGTTAAAATAATGTTCATTTGGGAAATCAAAATTCAATTATTAAAGTTCGCCGAGGTTATTTTTTCATTTTCTCTATTTATTCGATACCACCGACAACAAATCAGTGTATGGATCTATTTCAGTCTATTCGTATGACTCTCTCTTTCTATTTATCTCCACACGCACACACACACACGTATATATATATATATATATATATATATATATATAAAGAGCAAGAGAAGGGAGACGAGGAATGCTGAAAACTTTTCAGTCTGACCAAGAAACTCTCCAAATATTTGGTAATATGAAATCAGTTTTTGAAATTGGTTGATTCAAAAACTTTAAAGCATTCCATTATATATATATATATATATATATATATATATATATATATATATATATGTGTGTGTGTGTGTGTGTGTGTGTGTGTGTGTGTGTGTGTGTACATGCATACATACACACACAGACATATATATATATATATATATATATATATATATATATGAATAAAGTTTGATGAGAATCAGACAGAATAGGAAATTTGTATTTTCATATATATATATATATATATATATATATATATATATATATACAGAAAGAGAGAGAGAATGAGAGTCATGATAGATGCTGAAAAGTTCCAAAATCTGAAAAAATAACTAAATATCAGAGTCTTTTTTTAAGTGCTTCGTAGTTGAGCCGACAACTTTTTGGCTCCCCCTCTTGTAAGTGTACATGCGATGTGTTACACAAAATTTCCGGGGTTTCTAGAATTCACTCATGAACAACATTTCTACATCAAAAACAAATGATTGCAGCTAGTTTCCAGCATCTATTTCAAATTAATCTCCTCGGATGTTCCCAGCGTTTTCCTAAAAAATTTCATTCTAAAAAATACCTACTATATTCGATTCGTGCGATGTTCAAATTTCATGAATTTTGGCATCGCGATTTCCTTTATTGCAAATGATGCAATGAAAGCATCACCATGTTTTTTTTTAAATTTTACATTCATTACATGCGTCACTTTTCAAGCCTCTGTGAAAATTGATATGTGATTGGCCATAACACTACTTTTCCTTAGCAAAGATCAAAATGTATATAACTCATCTGTTGACATTTCTGGTGGCCGTCAGTTAAAGCAGTTGATCCATTCATAAGACTCATGTCTGCGCACTGTTCTAAGTCAGTAAAGGATGGACAATGTTGTACACAGTTTTTTTTTCTCTATATCTCTATACTCATTAACACGAATGCAGTGGATCTCTAAACGTTCTATCATTGTAGCGTCAACTATCTGGCATAAATGATTTAATTAAATGGTTTTGCATATTCCCGTTTGAAATAAATTTTGCCTTTTGTTTTACAAGTATAAACAGTATCAAAACAAAATGGTCCCCACAATCTTTTTTTATATATATATATATATATATATATATATATATATATATATATATATAGTAATCCGTATATTCCAGGTGAGTCCTATTAACAAAACAGAATTTGAAATATGTTAAAACTGACTCACGAGCGCTCAGTGTTTATTTTCATTAAACAGACCAAAATTTTCGTTAGAATTGGAATTAAATTACTAAAGGTACCTTTATTCCAATTGTAATATATATATATATATATATATATATATATATATATTTACCTGTATGGATATGAGTTTGTAACCCTGGTTCTCACGCTTTCGCAAAAGCGTGAAACCCAGGGTTACAAACTTATATCTATCCGACTGTATATGTTAGCTCTCTCACTGATATTGAGCACTTTCCAATAAGTACCGCGCATATATAATATATAGAGAAATTTTTTATATATATACATATATATATATATATATATATATATATATATATATATATATATATATATATATATATATATAGAAAGAGAGAGAAAAACACTGTATGTATATTTATATTTATATATTGACAGTGTAGGTATATTATATATATATATATATATATATATATATATATATACGTGACTAAAATTTTTAGTTATGCTTGTCACGTTTTTAACAAGATCCCAAAAACATCATTTACACTATAAGTAGGTCCGTCGTCAGAATATTGACCACTGTATTAAAAATATCAAGGATAACCTGCATTTAATTCCAATAATTATTCCGTAAACACATGAGTTAAACATATGCAATACATAATTCATCGAGGTGATCCCAAATCTATTTGATCCAGCGAGTAATTATTTTGTCTACATCTTGTTTTTAAAACTAGACAGTAGTTGCTATAAAAAGAACAAAATAATTCTCATGAAACCTTTGTTAGTCGCACAAGCCATTACGAGTGAAACTATATTCCATTTTAGGTTCAGTTAATTTTTTTACAATTATGTTCACACTTTACGAGGCCTAAGATCACTCTAGGTAGAGAATGGCTTTGCAATAGGAATATAATTTCTGAATATAACATGTCGAACTCATAGCGTCCAATGTTTTATATTAATAATCTTTCTTGCAACACAGAAAGATAGAAATAAACTTGACAATTTGGTTCTGACTATCTAACCGGAATTACTGTCATTATTCCATAAATCATTTGAATAAATATCATTATTGTTCTTTCCGCTTTAACAATTCGGCCGGTACCCTCTATAGTGATTCTCAGGTGCCTATTGCAAAAAGTAACCTTTATGTAACGTTGACAATTTTGGAAGCCGGTATAGACTTCAGCTCCATGTTTATTAGAGCAATAATTTGTCCAACACAGGAAGAATGTATATTCGAAACGCAAGACAAATCTTTCCACCATGATCTGTGAATTGTTCCCACTAGTAAATAGGGGGAATAGATTATTTTTTTCTACTATGTGCCGTGTCTCTTTAGGACGTTGGCGATCATGCCTCTCCACACTTTCTTATCCTTTGTAGCTTCCTAATAAATTTTGTCTTTTGGTTATCTCTCCTAAAGCTTGTTCCACCATCGATTTACTTAAAATTGCTAGGTAGGTTATGCGTTGTTTTCTTCTGTTCTTCTTGCCTTCAATCTGTCCTGTGAGTATCAAATTTTCCAGTCCCTCTTTCTTCATTATGTGTCCTAGAAATTTCAACTGTTTCTTACTGATGGTAAGTAAAGTGTCGTTTTTGTTTTCATTTTCTCTAAAGCTTCGTCGTTTCTCACATGTTCGGTCCATGATATTCGCAACATCTTTCTGTAGATTCACATTTCCGTTGCTTCAAGTCTCTTCTTCATCTGTGAGGAGATTGTCCATCATTCACTGCCATATACGAGGACAGATATTTTATAACAGTTCAGTCATTTTTTTTCTTTGTTTCTAAAAAACGTTTCTGTTTCGTAATATATCGCTTAGAAGTATGAATTTATTATCTAGAAAATATACCGAGCTAAACATAGTTTTCTATCGATTCCGGTGTTTGTTGCAATGTGAATGATTACTGAAAGCACATAAAACATATATTTAATTTCAGGCTTTGAATATGGAAATATGTATAAATTTCTATTCTTTGTATTGATATTTGTTGCCTTGTCAGTAATCAGTAAATTTACACATATCTATCTATCTATCTATCTATCTATCTATCTATCTATCTATCTATCTGCATGAATTCATCAATAAGCATGTTATATAATTCCTGGTTAATGTATATTAAATTCAAACCGTGATGGTATTTCTTCCTGACTCCAACAAAATATTTAAGAATGGTGACATACCTACCAATGCTCATCCCCGATATTGAGCACTCATTCTTTCACAATATATATATCAAGTTTTAAACTTATATATATATATATATATATATATATATATATATATATATATATATATATGTGTGTGTGTGTGTGTGTGTGTGTGTATATATATATATATATATATATATATATATAACAATTTTAAACAACACCCACACTCTTACTAAACGAAAAATATATATATATATATATATATATATATATATATATTCTATTATTTTATATATGTGCGGTGCTTATTGGAAAGCGCTCAATATCAGTAATAGAGCTAACATATTTAGTTGAATGAATATGAGTTTGTGATACTGGGTTTCACGCTTACGCGATCCTCAGAGAAAGTTTGTCTGAGGATCGCATAAGCGTGAAACCCAGGGTCACAAACTCATATCCATTCAACTATATATATATATATATATATATATATATATATATATATATAGATAGATAGATAGATAGATAGATAGATAGATAGATATATATCGATATATATTTTATATATCATGAATAGTATTGGGCAAATTGTATGACAAAAATGCGAAAAGTTTACTTTTGACATGTTTTCGTCCTTCAGGACTTCATCGGAGTAAATTTGTTAGTCCGATGAAGTCCCCAATTTCCTCAATATATATATATATATATATATATATATATATATATATATATATATATATATATATATATATATTTGTAAAGAATTAATGGATTTATTTTTTATCCAACGTTTTTATTATTACAATAATTACCAGTGCAATTTTACTTTCATTTTTATTCATTTATTTTTGTGGCTACTCGTGTTTGAAATAGAAGCTCTGCTCTTTATTTTAAACAGTGTACATTACATCTTCCTGCCTGTGCACTCGAGAAAACTTGACAAAGAATATCCTCTCTGGCACATTTTTTAATTAAGTTTTTGTATATGCATGCCGCTAGACGTAATACACACTGTATAAAAAACAAAAACAAAAAAACAAAAAAATACAGACAAACAAATAAACGGGTCATCTATTTCCAACATGGTTATCCACTAAAGATAACTTTTGAAGTAATATATATATATATATATATATATATATATATATATATATGTGTATTTTCTAAAGAACAGTATTTTATTTCGTGTACCACCCTGAATATTCGGGAATTCTTATTAAAGAAAAATGCGCTCTCCGGCAGGATTCGAACTTGCGTTTGCCTTAATGGGGAAACTGTCATTAGGTAGTGTACAACAATGCTTCATCACGATACTGTTTGTAGTCGAGTTGGCGAAAACATGTAGCGAAGGTTTCTGTTGCAAAGTGGGGAAGTGGGTTCGAATCCGGATGAAGGGCGCATTTTTAATGGTATCCACTAAAAATAACCTATATATATATATATATATATGTGTGTGTGTGTGTGTGTTTAGAGAGAAAGAGAAATTTACTTACTGCAAATTAATATCCATTTTTCGAATTATTTTTCTTCCGACTCCGCAAGAAAACTGAATATGAAGCGAAAGGTATGGTACCGATTTTTGCCAATTCTACCATTCATATAGATGAATACACTCGCGCTCACGAGTTGTAATGAGGTTTGTCACATAAAATGCACATTATATAACATTTAAATATCAACTAAATCTCCGTGGAAACATGAAAAAATCAACAAAAAAGTCTCTTTTAAAAAGGGTACAAACATAATCCTGTATAATTCGAATTGCCAAGACTAAATTATAATTGTTTTCATCTGTATGTGGCTAATATTTTTGATCTATGTGTGAATAACAGTTTCGTTTGATTTAAATTTCTACACGTTTTTTTTTTTTTAGAAACATAATATTAACACATTCTATTAAACATAAAAAAATGTTAAACAGATACAAAAAAAAAACTTAATAGATTTCCCTAATGTTCTTCCGTAATTAAACGTCAAGAAATCGGTTGAGTGGTAGAACTTTACTTAGCGTATGTGAGGTTCGAACTCACTACTCTGTTGTAATTGGTTTACTGCTAGCCATTACACCACAATTAGTTGCATGGTAATAAAAAATATTTTTGTACAACCTTAACATAAAGCGCAATAACCTCTCCCCATAATAGTTATTTACATACATATTTCATACATTTGCTTTAACAACTATTAATAGACAGAGGCATTCAGTACTTCTGTCGAAATGAGCCACAATTTATCAGAAACAGAGTGGCGGTTTTCTGAAATGATTTAAATTCTATAAAATAGTGTTTTTACAGCAATTTCTTCTGTTCACATGAAAAAAAATAGGGGATTAGTTTGTAGAGAAAGCAAATTAAACGAACGTTTGACAAAATTGCAATGATCGATTAATACATACTATAAACTCGCGCAAACATTAATATAAACATGTCTACAAAATACACATATAGACCCACATATAAATTTAAATGTGCTTTAGAAAATGTGTATGATTAAACATACACACTCATATATAGCATATGGAAAGAAGGATAAATATTTCGTTTAACTTTAATTTCGCTTAATGCCGCGGCGTTTTTGTACAAACTATTAGGTTGGTGCAAAAATATTGTCGTTTTTTGACGTTAAGTTGAACGTCAAAAAACGACAATATTTTTGCACCAACCTAATAAATTTAAACCGATTTCACGTTCACGTGTCCGTAAGATCGGCGTAAGGGCCATTGTGCTATGAGCAGAGGAACTACCTGAATTCTCAGGGAATTTTTGACCAATGAAAAGAAAACATTTCAAATTGACTATATCTCATTTGCCTGCTATTTATGCACTGGCTCACCAAGGGTACTGCTCACAATTCGTAGCGACAAAAGTCCGTACTACATTCTGTTCATATGCAGTGTTCTAATTCTAAGAACGTTTTGGTAGCACCATGTAAACATAGTAACTATTATAAAATTCATTTATGACTTCCTTTGTTCATATATATATATATATATATATATATATATATATATATATATGGAAATAAATTAGAGTCATGGAAACTTAAGCCTGTCTTTTTTTTATTTAATTAATTAATATTTGCTCTGTTGTTACATTGAGCTCTCTGGATTACATCCTTTTTGTAATTTTCCATACGGATTACCAAACCATTCGTTACCTTACTATATATATATATATATATATGTGTGTGTGTGTGTGTGTGTGTGTGTGTGTACAGTGTAACCTGGATATAAGAGACCTGGATATAAGAGAAACCGGATATAAGAAACTTCTTCTCCGGTCCCGACAACTCTCTTATATCCGGGTTACACTGTATATATATTACTTCAAAACGATACTTTTCGTTTACTTCAAAATTTACTTCAAATATATATATATATATATATATATATATATATATATATATATTACTTTTAATATTTATATTAATTTACTTCAATATATATATATATATTATTTACTTCAAAATATATATATATATATATATATATATATATTACTTCAAAACGATACTTTTCGTAATCGTTAATCTTTTTTTTTAAATAGACAACGCTTTTTATTTTAAACACTAAGTATTATGTCTACAGGCCTGCGCACTCAAGAAATCTTAATAAAGAAATTGTGCTTGGATCTGCGTTCCCCTTTGTTGATGATATCAGATTAAAAAGAAATATATTAATTCTTTATATATATATATATATATATATATAACAAAATTGTTTACACCTAAAACCTGTCGGCTCGGACACTACGGGAAGGTAACACTTTTTAATGCAATTAGATATTTGTAAATTAAGTGCTTAATATTCAGAAATAATACATTTAAAGTAATTAAAGGACTAAAATTCCAAATACTTAACTAACCACTCTGAGTTTCGCACTTCGTGTGAATTTACTTGCGAAACCAAAGAGAAATTTACTTCTCTCTCTCTCTCTCTCTCTCTCTCTGTGTATGTATATATATATATATATATATATATATATATATATATATATAAGTGCGCAGGTATGCAGAAAATAGAAAAAGAACACGTTGGGTGCATAATCCGGAGTTCCTTAGTATTTTGTTTTATTTTTTAAGAAGACAGTGCTCCCATACAGAAGTAGAGCTTATATTATTTTTTTTTTTTCATATTTTAAACAAAAAAATATATATATATATATATATATATATATATATATATATATATATATATATATATATATATATATATATATATATACTACCATAACGTTCTTCGTATGTACTTCTATGGTGTATATATAGATATAATTACATAGTTTAAAATTTGCTATATTTATTGCCAAAGATTGCTTAATATTGGGGTTAGAAAGTTAGTAGATATAAACAGTTTGAACATAAAAATTAAACACTGCATATTGCTTGGCAGTTTCACTCTTTTAGCAACCCTTGTTTTCTCATTGCTTAAGCCGTGAAATTTCAATGTGTATTTTTATATCTAGACTGTTTCTTTCTCTCTCTCTCTCTCTACACACACACACACACACACAAACACACACACATATATATGCGTGTGTGTGTATGTATATATAATGTAAAAGTGCTTTGTATATGTTTTATTTAACTTTTTTTTTGCTTTTTATATTGTATAATTAAAGCTGATACAATATTAAATTGTTATTGGAAGATTGTTTTGCACCATACTTCCAAGTGGAGAAGGTCTACCTTCCTTGAAATCGACATTCAAAATTCTAGTTTTTACCTGGGCTTGAACACCGGCCTCTGATAATTATGCAACGATCACAACCTTTATGCAATGATTATTATTTTATTTATTATTTTATTTTAATTTATTTCATTTTTATCTACTTACCAATTTTTTTTTTTTTCTGGAATAATATCTTTGTGAAAGTAGCAAATTGCATGAAGATACATCAGATAAAAAAAAAAAAAAAAAGAAAA